AGGGTTAAACACAAGAGAACTGTCTCCGTGTCATTCGCAAACATTCACAAAGCTGCGCCTGTTGTCACAACTTTGTTGTGGATCATTTTGGGACGTCTGCAAGTGTGTGGACAAGGATCACTTCTCCTCGACTTGACGTCTTTCCGCCTTCTCTTTTATCACTCTTTCAATAAAAAAGGCCAAGAATGCCACAAAATAATCCCCTCGCTATGTGGAGATCACCATGTTTGTGTAAAACATGTTGTGGTATCAGTTTCCTTTGTTTTATTCTCTGAAGAAGGAAGGGCAGTGCATGTAGTTTTAAACACCATACATGTTTATCCTCATGTGAGGCTTTGGGGATCTTAATCTCTGTGTGCACATGTGCAACCATCATCTACTTTTACATTATCAAGGCGCTGTAATGGACCTGATTTAATGCAACCGTGTTATTACTCCTGCACCTACTCCACAGATAGCAGTCGAGTAAAGGGAGTTCAGGGGTTCGGCAGCTCAGGCGTCACTGGTGCCTGGCAGTGCTTGGTGGGCTCCTTCTTTTCAGCCTGCTTTACCTAAAGAGAAGAGCATGTGTCAAGCTTTCATCCACTTAATGCTCTCTGCAGTTTACATTCCATTCCTGTTTAGTACAGGCGGCTACTTCACGTTTAAGCAGATATTGTTAGTGTGCAAGAGGGAGCGTAGCAAAGAGAGGCGGGGGGGAGGTTCGGGACGGATGGAAGGTCAAGGAGGTTGGGGAATTCATCTTGTGAAGTTTTTCTGTGGATGCCTGTCCACTGCTTGCACAAAAGGTCACAACTTGCTATCTGAATCGATTGATTGGTGTGATGAGCAATGCGGTGCGCCGCCTTTTCAGCTCTCATCTTTTTTATGTTTGCGTATCACACGCTCCGGTGGAGACAAATGCAGACAGGTTGAGTGAGCTCAGGAGATGCTCTAAATGCTAAACCTCTGCAGCCGCTATCAGGAAACGGTGTCACATATTTTCATGAGCGAGCGTCACTCCTGTGAGACTCATGTCTAGTATGAGCTCCGTCCAGTTCCTCAGTGTCTGTGTAGCGCAGCGGCTCTGCCTTTAAGATGTTTCTCACAGATTGTCCTGCAGCTGCATCTGTGGGCTTATTAGCAGAGTGGGCGAATCAAGTCCCTCTGCAGAATTCTTCTCACGCTGCCTCTGACAGGCTTTGGCTGTCACAGAGATGTAACCAGGAAGAGAAAGCCAGAGTGTGGGTGTATGTTTGCATGTGCTACCACATGTCAGTGCATTTGTGTGCACTCAACTGTTATATTTGGATTCATGTCTCAAAGACAGTAGCATTGGTTTTGGATTTAAAGCACAATACAGTCCTTAAATTCAGTTTAATCAAGTATTTCTAGTTAGTTTTATCCACTTTTGCCATTCATGTGGTAATTTAGATGCAAGAGACACACATTTGGAAAAGCCCATTTCTGTGATGCATTGCAGAAACCCCCAACATTTGAGATTCTGATCCCTTGAGATTCTCTTAACTCCTCAGAAAAGTTGTCAGTGGAACAGCCAGAAACTTCAAAACTCCCAGTATCTTGCATATCCCTCACAAAGCCTGTGCATGCTTATTGCTTCTCTCCTGGGTTTAATTTCCTGACAGTTTCTTGTCTGTGAATGCTTTTCAGTAGCTGAATCTAACAATTTCTGATGCCAGAGCTTGAAGGATACGTGTGGCAATAAATATGTTTTTTTTTTGCTTATTATTAACACATGGCAATATAAGAATATAATATTATACAATCACAAAACCGCGTGTTTGTCTTGGATTTTAGTCCAGATCTCAAGTCAGATGCACATTCTTCTAAAAATACATACTTTAGAGGGAACATGTCTGATGTGCTCACTCTAAACAAGGCTGTGTTCTCTCCCCTGTGATATTCTCTCTTTTTAAGAATGAAATCATTATGAATGAGCGTTACTCCATAACACACTTGATGCACTGCCACCTACACAACTGGCCTATTCTGCTATGAGCTGCTGCGTTTGGGTCGCTCTGCAACTGATTGGAAGTTAAGACTCTTCAAACATGGGTCCAGTAATAATCAACTCAAAATCAATGTGACAAAGACAAAAGGCTCCATCCTTTCAGGAGAACCAGTAGCCTTGGTGTTGGTCAGCTGATTTTAGATTTAACGTACAAAACTCCTGTTGTTGAGGTCCCTTGTGTTTTAAGTTGGAAACTTAATGTTTCAGGAAACTCAAAAGTGGTAGAGGATGGATGGAGGTTGATAGAGGATTGGTTCTTCTAACAAATTGTGAGTTAAAGTGTGAAACATGTATGAACCGGTCTAAAAAATAACTCATCATACAGTAGTTACCAAGCCAGCATCAGTGAAGGAGTGGGGTTTATATAGAATACCACATTAGCCGCAGCGGCTTTATCGCAGTATCAAAGTTAAAGATACTAAATCCCATAATAGAACGTTAAACCTAATCCCGGTGAGTCAGATGAGAAAAAGTATGAGACATTTGTTCTTGTGGTTTTAGAAATAAAAGCTGGGGGAGAATCTGAACAACTGTCTCAGCCATTTCAGGGAACAAAGAATCATGGGAATCTGATTGGTTGTTTATGACCAGTGAAGATGTGCATGTTGAGGAGCCAACAGTTGTTTGGGAACAGAGTGGACAGCGGGTCTCCAGCTGCAAGTCTCCTCGACAGCTGATGCTTGAACCGTCTTGAAAGGATATTGGCTCAGTAATTTCCATCTGACCCAATCTCTTCTTCCCAGAATTTTCTGCTCCTGTACTTTTGCTTTTCAACTCTTCATGGACCAAAATGCAGTAATTTCCCTCGGTCCCTCCAAACAGCAGCTGGGCACATTTAAGTCCCGTCTTCAGGCTTCTGTAAAGTGTCACCTGTTTCTCATTATCTCTGGATTCTCTTGTTCCCTCGTTGTAGAGCCACCGCTACTTCGTCCAACAGGGCAAACATTGTGCATTGTAGTCAGAGTAATTCATAAGTAAACAGTGGAATTCCTTTTGACTGGAATGTGTGCGCTTGTGTGTGTCTTTGTCACATGCGTGTAAGATACGTATGTGTATGTGCTTGCCTGCTCTCTTCAAGCGTGTACCTGGCTGCCATGTGTCCACCTGGAAATTGCAACAAGTTACTAGAGCGAGGAGCTTCGGAGGCCGTTGTCCTCTGGGTGGGGCGGAGTTCAAAGAAACCCGGAGTCGGTCAGGAGCTTTATCTCGAGGGAGAGATAACTTAAACACCGCAGACGTGTCTCAACTCTGAGACTGGGAGTAAAGGTCGCGCCGGCTTTTTGAGCTGGAACGCAGTAGCATAGTGAGAAAGTGAATCATGTGAAGTTAAGACGAGGCCAGATAGACGTCCTCAAACAAGTGCAGCTGGTCTGCACTTGTTTGAGGACGTCTATCTGGACTTGTCCAGCAAAGGCTATAGTTTAACAGTTGTTTTTGCCTAGATGGCATCCAGTGTGGCCAGATGATACCACATCCCAAGGGAGTGGGAAGCAGGAGATGATCACACCGATGGTTGGCTGGTCGGCACAACTGAAAAGAATCTGGATAGTCAGCAGTTTCCTTTTGAAAATGTCCCGGGATTGTTGTTGTAAGGGTGTTCAGTCAGGGGAGAGAGGATTTGGGGGGATAGATCGAGTTATTTATTAGCTGGAGCCACTTAAATGGGAAAACTACCATGACAGAGTTCGGTGGAAATAGGAACTGGCGGGCCATGCCAACTGGAAATGCCAGGGGTGGCATCCAGCCAGGGTCGTAACTCAACTTATAGCATGGGTCTGGATGTTGAGATGGTGAGAGCAGAGATAATAAAACCCTCACTGGGCTCCTGCGGGGCAACACAGCGAACTTTATCAAGATGATCAGATAGGAGAGTGGCTGGCTAAGCTTTGTGTTTCCTCATTGTGGAAGCTTATGTGTCCATTAGGTAAACTACAAGAAGATGATTTTAAGTAGTTTTCTCAATAATGACCTTGTTTTGATGAAGCTACATTTATCTAATCCTTGAATACGACATTACTCCAAACCAAGGCTACTTGTCTCTACTCTCGCTTTGCTGTTTTGATGCATTTATTTATAAAACCTTAGTTTTGTTGCTTCTACATGTAAGAAAACAGTAAAAACACTTCTACTGAACTCTAGACACACCTCTCTATAAATACTTGCAGCGTTGCTCTAGGGATTTCGACGTCTATGGGTTTCTTAGCACAAGCAAAAGTTCAAGAACCTTTTCCTTAAATCTGAAACTGTCTGATCAATTAGTAACTGCAAATCTGAAGCTACATCCACACTTATGCTACTTTTTAGTTTCCAATCCTTGGAGGTCCTGACACGTTCGTGCATCAAGGTGTGATTCCCCTGCTGGGCGGTGTGTACGCCCAGTGCAGGGCCCCGTAACTGTAGCCCCCCAGGGCCCGACTCTGCTTTTTCAGTTTCACTCGGTCACACCCCTGCCGTTGTTCCATTCGTACAACGAGTTGAATGACACGGAAAGATCACAGTCAAGTGCACAACCTGCACTTTGAGAGGCTGCATTTATCTGATGTGTTTTACTGCTGCAGGTGACATAATGTTTCCATGAGAGACTCCTTCCCTCCAGTGAGGAGCTGTCGTGAACAAATAGTTGTGGTATGCTGGATTTTTTTCTGATCTGAATGCAGCTGCTTTCCCTGGATTTCAGAGATTTGTTTGCTGTTTGTTTCTTTGTGTGTGTGTGTGTTCTCATATGTGGGTCATTGCAGTCAGCTGTGAATATCTGTCGCCAACTTCCTCCGTTTAACTCAATAGCAAATTGTGCGGTGAAAAAAGTTTTTTGAGCCCTAAATGTGAACTGTTGAGTCGCCCTCCAAGAGATAATAAACGATAAATGTAAACACATTTCAAAGCCCTGTTTCCCATCTCCCCTCCTCCCTTCCACGGTCCATGTACAGCACTGGGTGTAACCTTTCTCTGTGGAGACTTTAACCCCCATCAATCTCTGTGTTTGCTGCAGGTGACTCAGGCCTCCAAGGTGTGGGGAGAGGTTCCTCTGCCAGAGGACTTGGAGGCGGAGAAAGACGTCCAGGCGTCTCCGAGCTTACTGGACGATGACGAGGACTTCGCTGCAGATGAAGCTTCGGGAGGTGGGTTCGAGAGATGATGTGTTACAACAAACCACAGCAGCAGCTGCCCTCAATTCATGGGAACTGTCTTTTTTTTTTTTTTATCAGAATGCATTCCTTAGGGGAATGTGACTTATTCTGATGATTTCATCTGTATCAACACTAACTTGCAGGATTCACGCTTTTCAGGGGAATTTGACAGATCGTACATTTAAATTATTACATAAACGAATAAAGCGTGTGTACCCGTGAACCCGCACACTGACTTGCATTTCTTTCTCCCAAGATCTGCCCAGTGGAGAGGATGATGGAAGCACACCGTGGACTGAGAGCACAGGTAAGCATCCAGCAAATCTAACGAATCTACCAGTTCTCTGTGACAGATTTTATTCATGCGTGGAAGATCCGATTCATCCCTGTAAAGTTCCCTCATGTGTGACTCAACTGGATGTATGCAACGATGTGTGTGTCTGTGTGCGTCTGTGCCTGAATGATGATGCATTTTCACATCCTGCCACACCCTCCCCCCCCAACGCCTTCATCGACGCTCCAGAGTCTGGTCATAACACGGAGCATTCAGCTTTTTCTTCCAGACATAAACATCTCCTCTCGTCTTTCATCCTTTCAACCGGTGGCAGATCTGACAGGACTATAAGATACATGAAAGTGTGATGAACAATAAAAGCTGCAGCCGAGCACCTCTGTTTTGCATTCCATTCACAACTGCACTTTTTCCAACCCCCTTGTTTTTATGTAGACCTGATAAGTATTTATATGCAGGGACCCCACTATATCACATCGCACCGTAGCAGCGGAAAGTAGATAACGTATTAAACTTTGCGCCGGGGATCTAACTCTTTAATCATGCCTGTGGTTTTCTGCTGCTCGTTACGCTTCTGTTCTTGGTGCATTTTTCTTGTTTCTCATCTCTAGATTTCTCTTCGCAGCCTTAAGGAAAACAGTTTCCTTTTTTGAAAAGGCAGCTCAGAAAGGATTTCTTTCTTTTCCCCTTTATCCACATTTTTTTGGGGCATTTTCCCAAAACATTATTCGATATGTCACATTTCACATTTCACTTGCTAAATTTGGGTGAGGACCAAGAGGAGACTTAAACAAAGCGGACATTAAACGCTGTTGACCGAAAGTGATTGTGATATATTTCAGAAAGGTGGTTATCAGTGAAACAATGGAAAATTGAACGTAGATCTAAGAAGTGGATTTTTCTCGTTCACATCATCAGAGTAAGTTTGTCAGATACAAATGTGCAGAAAGAAAATAAAAGTCACTGAAGGCAAAGCCACATTTTGCTGTGAGGACAGGATATGAACATATAGTCTCTTAACATGCTCACGTTTTGTGGTTTGACATGAGCCTACAAACAATCCCCATTACTTTGGTTTAATGCCTCTGTTTCCAGTAAACTTGCCATGTTTTGTAACCGTACAAAGGTCAATGCTGTTTTAATGTGGTGATTAAAGAGGAGGCTGAGATTATTATGTACTTTCTTTAATATGTTGTCTTATCTGGAAGGCGGCTAGACTTCCCCGTGTGATCATGGAGCTATGACTGGAGGAGACGGGGGTATTTCCATATATAGATCTGAGCATGACAGCGATGGGAAGGAAATTCGGTTTCCTGTGCTGAATGCTGAATACTTTTCCTGAGTGTCTCTGTCCTGTTAGTTGTCCAGACTATTCACCCGCGCCTCTGCCTTCCTTCCCCTCTCCACTGCCATAAAGCTGCTGGCCGAGGTGCCACAGTGGCCTCCATTAGTCCTTGTTTCCTGTTGTGTTACTTTTTTGCCGAAGGGTGAGGAATTCCCTTTTCCTTCTGTCTCAGCCTCATGCCCTGATGATGCCAGAAAGAAAACATCTGCAGTCACTACTGTTTTTCAGATTAGCCTATTTTAAACCTCTTTTGTCCATTGTTGTTCTTAACCCCTTCCACCAATCATACTCTGGAATCTTCTCTGGAGATATGAAGGCTGCGTCCCCACGTCCTCCTAACCTCTCATCCTGACCTCAGCATTAAGAGCCCCGAAGAGATTTCTGGGAGACAAAATCTAGCTTATCTCATCTGTGAGAGCCTTTCCTTGTTCCACTGGCTCAATTACAGACTTTCCCACTGCACCAAACATATTGGCCACTTTGTTTAAAGACAAAAGAAACAAAGACTTACATGTCCATGTAGTCATGGTGAGGGGCTGCTGGGGATATGTCCCTCCCAGCGCTAATTTTGGACAAAAAGCTTGAGAATTCAAATCTCTAGACGAAAGCTCTGGCCAATAATGTGGCCTCGCTCATATATTTAACCGATTATTTACTCTGAGATAATAAATCATATCTATCTAACTAACTCAACAGACAAAACATTGTTTTGAAACAGATTAGATTAGATCAAACTTTATCCACATCACTTATTTGTATCTTCCGATTGACTCACAGCTTCAACTGTCAGAATCAGCTCCAGCAAGTTGAGGAGTGAAGCTGAACCGTAGATCAGTTAAAAAGACTAAGAAGTTATTAAAACCCAGAGTTAATCTCCAGTATTCAGCAGGAAACTTTTAAAATGTGAAGAATTGGAAACGGTAAAAACACGGAGCCCAACAGAGGGCGCTGTTGCTCATCAAGTTGCATAGTGTTGCTTTAAAGCAGTGTTAACAAAAGATTCCTGCGAAGAGGCGTCATGGTTTAGAAACGTTTGGAAACCGACTCCAGCCTGTTTAACCCTTTTCAATAAACAGAGATTCAAAAAATGCAAATTCGAACCTGAACGAGACTAAATGTTTAAATTGTGATCATATGTCACAGGAATACGTTTTTCTTAAAGTCAAATCAAGTTCACTTTTTTCCTCTCAGTGCCGTAAACCATCATTGATTTTTTTACTCACGTCTGTGTGACGTGTTGATTTGAGATTGAACATGTCGAGTGTCTCAGTTGATTCAAAGAGAAGGATCAGCAGTGAGATGTGATCCGTGTTTACTCCTCTGTGACGTTTCCACTTCGGCGTCTGGCTGACTTCCATCCATGCGGACTCGAGTGGAGGCCGGCTCACGGACAGGTTTCTGCGTTCCTGTGAAGCCTCAGCTGTTTTTTCTTCCAAACGCATTAGTCGCTTGTGGATGCTGGCTGGAAAAAAAAAAAAAAAAAACACAATCTGGGCTCAGACTCTTACGATGTTGCAGCATAAGTGGACAATGCATCAGGGTAATGCGCCCTGTCCGTCAGTTTGCTCGGGCAGTGGACAGGCTGCAGCCAGGGCCACCCACTCAGTGTCTCTGCCTTTTTCATGGGCCTTTGGTGATGTTTGTGTCTCGGTGGCACGGCCCCTGTGTGTGATTGTGTGTCAGATACAGGGAGCCTCTCGAGTAGTTGCACACAGGGACGAACGCTGGCAGCTGCAGTTATTTTGGTGAGGTCTTTGTTGTTGCACTGCTGGGGGGCCCCCCGCAAGGTGGCACTGGGGGGGGGAGGGGGTGAAATTGCCTCACGTTATAATCAGATGACTTACTCCCATTTGCAGAGGAGGCAGCAGACAAAACACGGGCGCTGTGATGCTGAAGGACACGTTTGCTTTAACTGTTGTCTGAATTGTTCGTGTCACTCAAGATAAAAAGCCTTCGCCCTCCGCTCACAAACGGTTAATCACCGGTGTGACTAACAGGGTGGGCACTGTTAGGAGAGACTTCGGCTGAAGGGTCTTAGTCACTGACTTGAGCCTTATTACTGCACCTAACCCCATGATGTTGTACCAATAACAAATGTGTTGCCTTGGAGAAACGGGCTTGCGCCGCTCCTCTTTAGGAAAGAGCTTGTGGGTTGTGGAGGCGAGCGAGCGTCTGTTTGCGTTTATCTCCTCTTCCTCGCAGCGGCGTCAAGGACAGGGATTGTAACTGATGCCTCCATTTATTTTGATGACCTTCATCATAGTCTGTGTCGCAACGAGGAGAGAACACCTTTATATTTGGAGCAAAGAAAATGGTTTGTTGTCTCAGAAAACAAACAGTGAGTCAGGACTTGTGGGGATTGGCCAGATATTCAATTGTCCTGCAGATCAGAGGGTTTATTTATTTAAAGCTCCACAGTTGATCAGTGGCTTCCTGGTTAAGTATCCATATCAAATAATTACCTCTCCTGGGATCCGTTAAGCTCGTAAGTGTTTCCCTTCGATTGGATAATACGTCCAGTACACGTGCAGTACTTTAATCTGACTGAGGTTGTTTGTTGTTGGTGTTGTTTCCTGTCTGCCCATGTTGTGCTGTAGAGATTGCTTTGTATCAGTCAGTGATCATGACCCAATCTGCACATAAAAGAGAGGCAGTAACAATAAAGCTCTCACCCACTTCTCCCTGGCTCTCACTCCCACTCTCACCCCCACCAGGCCCACAACATATCTGCAGCCTTTGAAGCAGCGGATGCTTCATTAGCTTTAATTAGTTTGGGTCACTATTCTTGAGGGAGACCTCAGACGGTTTGGCCAGATTTTCTTTCTTTCAGCTGTTTCCTGGCTGGACACTGTGGACTTGAAAGTGTTTAACAGAAACTCCTGCCTAGTCTGCAGTATTCTCTTCTCTAACCCAATTTACCTGCTCTTCTCCAGACTGTAGCACCAGGCAGCAGCTGTTCCATCCTGTCCAATAGCAAATACATCAACTGTTTTCTAAATCTACTCTCCTCCGGAAGACGTGCCACAGCTCGAGTAAATCCAGTATCAGAAACCATATGTTTTTTTTTGGGATGTGCAGCTGTAAAACAGCTGGATCCAGTACACTCAGTTGATTGCACGGTTGTTTACTGCTGTCTGTCCAAGTTTATGGAGTGGACTCGCACAGAATCTGGATCTCAGCTGGACAAGCTGCCCTACCAGTGTAGCCACAGACTCAAGAACATTTCATTATGTTTTCACCTCTGTCTTGTTCGTTGGTTCGTCTGTTTGATTGTTTGTCAGCAGGATTATGCCAAAACGACAAAACAGGTTTTCTTACATTGGTGTAGCTTCGCAGAATCTAAGGGGACGGGTTGGTCTCGGTAGAGTTCCTGTTTGTTTGTCAGCAGGATTACGCAAAAAAATACTGAACGGATTTCCACAAAATTAGGTGGAAGGATGGGACAAGAAAGATTTTGGTGCAGATCCAGAAATTTTACATCACTTTCTTTAACATTGTGAGATTGAAGCGCGTTTTTACATTTTCACTAATTCCCCAGGGAATAATTTAAGGATCTGGATGCAAAACGCCAGGCACATTTAGAGGACCGATGCTGGTGCAGCCTGATTGACTTAAAGGGGGACTGTTAGCGGAGGTATGAGTTTTTAAATCTGCTTTCATTCAAAAGACAACAAAGTTCCTTCTTTGGAAGACAGTGAGCAGATTCTAGAAAATCTCTTAAAACCCACCCATGGCTCAGAGCGATCAAGGGGCCTCTTCAGTTGACATTTCAGAGCATGCCCCATGGTGCAACTGCATCCAAAGCCGCCCTAAGAATGAATGAGTCACCACGAAACAGACCACGGTCATTGTTGCCGGTGCCAGTGCAGAGGGCTCAACTTTTGGTTGAAAAAAAAAAGTGTTATGGTGCAGTTCTTTCCATTTAGGATGGAAAACAGGAAGCGGCTCCTCCCTGTGACGCTACAAAGTCCCAGCAGAGATGTGACAAGTGTGTGTTTGGTTTGTAGGATATCCTCTTTGTTCCATAGGGCTGAAGAAGAGTCCTCTGACCTCCTCTCTTGGACGTTGTCATGCAAGCAGACTTCCTTGTGTGTTTCCAGACGGACGCTGGTTAGTCAACAAAAACCCCAGAATCCCCAGTCATTGTCCCAATAAGCGAGACTCTCCTCTCCATAGGGATGGTAACCATTAGTGGGACTGTTGATAATCTGAAATTGATGCTGACATTTCTGTCCCCTCATAATATTGTGTTTCTTTTCATTTCTTTGCTGTTTTTATTATGTTTATCTCGCATCATTTACCTGTTTCTGTCAAGACGACTCTTTTGGCAGCTCACTTTCTGATTGTCACTTTCTATTTTCTCTCCTCGCTTCCAATCATAACCTTCCCAAACTTTCCTGAAACTTTAACCTCTCTGCACCTGCCTGGCTAACTCGATCCTTCTCCCCCGTTCCTTGTGTCGCTTTTCTTGTTTGATCCTTGACCCCTGGCTCCTGTTTGTGCCCTGCGCGACCTCCGTGCCCGTTCTCTTCCCCCTGTCTCTTGCTCTTTGCTCCTTGCCCCTCATCGCTCGCCGTAGCCCAAAGGTTGAACTCGTCCCATATGGGGAACATACAGAGCCCGGTCGAGTCGGACTACAGTAAGTCCTCGAGCACGCCTTTCTCCCCTCTCTTGTCTTTGGCACACTCTGCTGTCACCTGCTCAACTCAGTTATGCACTCCCATTTCCAAACACACTCTCAGATAACATTCCAAGGAAGACTCAGCTTGGGCATGTCGTGTTTGAGTCCAGCGAGTATGTTTTTCCACGAGTCTTCCAGGCGTCTCCCAGAGTTTTTTGTTTTTTTTTCATGCCAGTGGAAAATGATGGGGTTATTCCATCGAGTAATACACCCCATCACAGTCGAGTGACAACATTTGTTTCCAGTTGAAAACATCTTTGTAAAACATATCTCGAAAAAACTACATTATTAATCATCTTCCTGGACAAGTGTGTTCCACAACTTAATTTGCAAAGTGCTATTTGTAATTTCAACCTCATGCAGATGGCTCATCCCGGTGATGTGAACCAGCTGTCGCACTGAAACGCTACAATCTGAAATGTGCTCTATTATACACAATGGTGGTTTTTGATGCTTATGTTGTGAGCTGTGAGAGAGCAAAATGAGGGCGGCTTAATAGTGAAGCCAGAAGTTATTCCCCAGAGTTCCCCAGAGGGCAATGAGTGGACGTGGAGACGGAGCAGTTTGGCTGGCCACCAGCAGAAGGGTTAAGCAGCAGGGGTTCTTTCTACATGAGTTGAGCAGAGAAAGAGGCCGCTTGCATATGAATATATTAAACTCGGAGAGACGCGAAGATTAAGAAAGAGATGGAGTAGATAAAAAGCCCATGGAAGGAAAATTGATTAAAGATATTTGATGAAGTTGCTGGTGCCGTGTGGTTTGGTCCTTGTTCTTACAGATCCTTACTCGCTCCACCCAGACAATTGCTCGGCTGGTGCTGGGCCGGTGCCGTGGGCGCTGCCTTAGGGCCTGAAGGTCAAGCCCAACGCGGCTGGGCTTTAAAGGCCAGGCAGGGCTCACTGCTCAATCAAGTCTTTGTCTTCTGCATAGGCCTCTATGTGTTCAGAGGGGGCCCATGGCACAAAGCCGCCACAGTTCTACTGAACAGCTTTAATAGCTAAATAAGTTTGTGAATTAAGAGTGTGGAATGCATTTTTTTTTTCTTCCCCCCGACTCCTTTTTTTTTTTTTCATCCCACCCGTCATATCTGCACTCTGACAGTTTCATCACCCTTGATGATGACAAAGAGGAACCCCCCCCCCTCTCTCTCTGCTGGACACAGCAAGTGATGTATAACAGAATGGGCTGTGGAGTAAAAGAGCCGCTCGTTAGCAGCAGGGCACAACCCGGCTCTTTAATCAAAGGATCTCAAGCGGCGGCAGTCCCACACTCGCCAGTTTGTAACGTCAAAGCGGCGAGCTCAGAGAGAGTTGGGGCTACAAGCTGCTGCTGACCTGGCGGCGAGAACCCACTCAAGTGATTAGATTATATGCGGGTCAAAAGAGGCGCTTTGATGGGTAACTTTGATGTTGCCTGTCTTTTTGGTTCCACATGCAGGCCGAACAATTATTCCTACAAGTCTGACAGTGACAGTCTGCAAAGCAAGCACTCAGGAACCTTTCCTGCCTGCAGCTCTGTTGTTACATTTTCGCCTCGCTGTGTGTTTTCATAGGCAGTGCTCCGTTTACTTTGTATTAAATGAGGCTTCTCTTCACCAGGAACGGGACGTCTCACATTGCCAATGTTTTGTGTAAAGAAAAGGGGGTTTAAGAGAGGACAGCTGTTTACCAGCCACGGCTCAGGCGGCGCAACATAAGGCAGCGAGGCTCCCACAGGCCTTTAACAATGTGAACACACAGCCCGAGCAGGAGACACAAAATCTTTAACTTTTAATTAAATAGCCCCCGGTAAGCATGATAAATGTATGTTGTCCACGTGTCTGGTAATATGTAATTATCCAAGCAGCAGGGAACAAAGAGTACAAACCTAATACACCGAGATTGTTCCTATAGTTTCTGCATGTGTCATTGTGGGCTTTGTTGTTCAGCACATTTGGTCATATGTGTTTGTAACCAGAGGCTCAACAGATCCCTGGAACGTGACTCGTTTACTTTTGGCATAGCAAGTAGCATCTCACTGCAAGAAACAGTACAAATATTGACTTCCTCCCTAAACCCACACTGCCGGGCACAAATCAGAGGCTGGCAGGCCCCTTCTAACAAAGTGTTGGCAGGAGTGTGAGAACGAGGCACCCTGCGGGCCTGGGCTATTTTAAGTTTCATGGGCTAAGCCTGTGTCACTGGAATTATAATAATACAGCTGACATTTCTGTTGACGATGAGTTCCTCATATATATCACTGAGATTAGGAATTTGGCCAATAGGGTTATCAAGATAAAGAACTTTCATAACATCAAATGATCATTCCTCTCAGGTTTAATTTGCTCCTAAGTGAAAGTTGAAGAAACCAAAAGGTTAACAGTGATTTTTAAAGTGAAACCCGAGGTGGAACATTCAAAATGTGTCATACGCTGAGTTGTACGTTATCATTACTTCATCAAGGAGGTTATGTTTTCATCAGTTTGGGCCATTTCCACAATACATTTTGCTTTTTCTGCTGTAACATACTTACGCAGCAGACAGGTTTTTGTATGCGGTGAAAAACGAGAGTTGTAAGAGAAGGAAAAAATCTTTTCTCATAAATAGTTTTGCCCCCCCCCCCTCCTCACTACATTTCTTCACTGTGGCAGTTTTCTGGGTTCAGCGCCTCGGTCAAGGACACGTTCATCGACACACTGTCGACCCACCAGCTGCTTACAAGGTTTCAAACCAAATAACTTCAACTGAAATAAAAATCAGGATTACCCTGATGGGATTACTCGATTTCACCGGGCACTCTGAGCTAATTCAAACAATGGGCACGGAACTGCAGCTCCTGTGTGATTCACGTCTGAATACAGAGAGCCCTATGTCCAACCAATTGACCTGTATGTTTAATGACCAGTCAGCTAACACAGCCTCTCTGTAGGCCATTGATATAATCCCTGCTGCCGCCCCTCTGCCTGCCTGATGGGGCATTTGACTTGGTGCATGTGGAGGGAAGGTGCAGGCCCCTTTCCAGAGTCGTCCACAGAGGATTTTCTTCTTCGATCGAGACTTAAATCCCCTCTCACCATCCACTTCTCTGTTATCGCCCGGTCAGCAGGTCTGGTGCGAACGTGTGGCCCTGCGGTTTATCCACGTACTGTGCATATGAATGTTTGCATTGCACAGGTTTCACACAGGTTGTGTTTTGTTCTTTATCAGCATCTGTCTGAATGTGCGTCTTCACGTCGATGACCATCAGAAACACGTGCAGAAACCAGGACGTTCCCTTGAGACTATAATTTCATGTTTATATTCGAATGCTTGTGTCAGCGTGTGCCTCTTGTTCAGTGCGGCGCAACGCTGCAGTTGTCGGTTTTTGGTGAAGATCCAACCACAACTCAGATATGGAAATAGACGCCATAATTTGCATGTGGCCTTCCAGCCGCAGTCATGCTTTTCAGTTTTTACTTTCTGAAACGTTTAACCAAAGTCTTTCCTCCGGGAAATAATTCCCAAACAGGATCCCATATCACATTGTCTTTAATAGACTTAGGGACTTGTCTCTAGCTTATAATATCTCTGCGACAGATGGACATTAATGCTGAGCCTGTGGTCGTTGTCTGTTGTTGTGCGGTTTCGCTGACAGATCCCCCTCCCTCCCTGTGTTTCCAGTTTATTTCAGAGCTCTCGTCAACTTCACCGACTCCCTGGTCTACAGCCCTGAGCTCGAGGACATCTACTCTCCAGCCTTTAATGAGATCTCTGAAGCAGTGGTGGACACGGTACGTCCTTCCCCTTTGTAGGATAAACTCAAACCAAACTGTGGTCGTGTTCTCTAAGCGAAGGCTACCTTATAAGGTTCAGACGTGTAATTTACAACATTGCTGATTTAAGTGTGTGTGACGCTTTGTCTGGAAATAAAGCCCAGGCCTGTTTATTTCAACTTAACCGAGTCTGGCTTTCCCTTCACAGCTGGAGTCGGAGTACAACCGGTTTCCAGGTGTCCAGACAGTCAGCGTGGTCCTCATTAAGTATGAACACAAATCCTTTAAATCACATTTTATCTACTCTCAAAGTAGATACCCTGCAGCTGTGTGCTGGATGTCTTACTTTTTCCAAACTGCTCCAAAGGCAACTCTGTGGTGCCTGTGCAGTCAGTAATTTATCAGCAGTGAGTAATTCAGTCCTCTGAGGGACATCCAAAGAGAAACCGTACCTCCTCCTAAGAGCTCTCCTGTTAAAGCCTCTACAGTTCGCTCCACACAGCCTCACCAGGCCTCTCTCGCTCTTTGCAGGAAGATGGTGAGAGAAGATGGCGTGGACGTGTTTGTGGAGTTGGACGTGGGCTCCGAGTACAACAGCAATAGCGAACAGATCCGCAGCGTGCTGTACAGCGTGGTGAAGGAGGGAGCCATCGCTTCCTACGTCACGTCAGTCCAGGGCTTTCAGTTCCGACGACTAGGGGAAGGTGAGACGTCATCAAAACTGCTTAAAACAACCGTGAAGTGACTGCCTCTGTTACACCAGAGTGTGCTGTGTGTTTGCAGCAAAATAAAGGTCCAGCAGAGCAATAGGTAGTGTCCTTAACTTTTCCCTCTGGTTTTTAGTTCAACCTTTGCCCTCCGTGGAGCCTATAGCAGTGCCAGGTTTGTACTGTGCCATGTCCGCTGCATGGTGACTGAGCCGACTGTGCTGTAGAAACCGTAGGACGACTGTAGTGCCTTTTAGAAAGAACAGTCGAGCATTTCCTTCCTTAGGATGTTGAAGTTTACTTTGACTTTACTTAATTATCATGTGGTCTGAGGAATGTTATGCATGGAAGCACCGATGTGAAGTAGACCTCGTGGTCTCTGAAGTCCAGTAGTGCACAGTGAATAAGAAGACATTGCATGGCATGATTGATTAGGAATGCTGCTGCTCACTACGACGTCAATCAGCTTAAATTCCACCAACTCCATATGTAGGCATGTCTGATGTAAGGTTTGCCTTTCCTTTAAGATCGTTACTCAGCTGACAGGGTCCCCATGTGTCTGTCTGTCTGTCCTGTCTGTCTGTCGAGTGCAGTCTGTGTTCTATTCTTTCTTGTCTTGTCCATGTCTGTGGCCCTGTTCAGACCTGAAATTAACATCCGTCCTGAGATATCCGATCACAAGTGGACAGCGCTAACTTTATCTGTTCACACCTGGTATTAAAATATGTGTTCGGACTGTGACCCCCCCGCTCAATATGCGAATAATCACGATTTGCAAAGACCCTGTGAGAAAGATAGTGGGCAGAGTGAGGAGGGTGTTCAGACCCAAAGTTAGAGCTGACCACTTGTGATCAGATCACTCAGGATGAATATTAATACCACGTCTGAATGGGGTCTGTGTGTTTGTTTGGTTTCCTCTAGTATGTTTGATCTAGTTAGGATTAGGGTTAAGGGGTTAGTTGAGTTTGACTAGTATGTGTGTCCATCAAGTCTAATTTGTATTTTTAGACTCTTGTCCATTCTCTGTCTTATCTAGTCTACACTTGTCTTTCTGTCCAGTCTTGTCTAGCCTGTCTGTCTAATCTGTGGGTTTAGTCTAATGTAGTTTGTGTCTTTCTACCTATTTATCTAGCACAGAGTTTATTTTTCACCCAACAGAATTTAATGCAAAATAGATATTTATGAAAATCTTATCACGCTGTTTCAAATCTCCCTGAGTATCTCAAAGCACTCCTCTAATGATAGTCTTCACGACATGCCTGAGTTGCACTCCCCGTAGTACCCTGATGGCTTCCTCGTTCTATTTGTTGTATTTGTGCTGTGACGTGATGACATTAGAGTGGTGTGTTGGCTGTGCTGTAGCCTTGACTCGCACGACGTTGATCCTTCAACGCCCTCCCGTCCCTCTGCATCTCCCTCAGTAACCCCCAGCATCAGGCAGTGCATGCCAGATGAGCACAGGTGTGGTGACGGGACATGTATCCTGATGGAATACCTGTGTGACAATAGACCAGACTGCAGAGACATGAGTGATGAGACCAACTGTGGTGAGTGGCTTCCGCCTGATTGGCCGGCGGATTATAACATGGCCGGCAAAAGCACGTATTACTGGCTGTGAACGCGTCATGTGTCAATTTGCGGTAACAACTCTTAAATATCCACTCTGTACATTTGCTGAGTTTAATCAGAGATTTGTTTTAGAAGTAAAACTGCCACCTCCAGTCTACACCACCCCTCCGACCACCACCACCACCACCTCCACCACCATCATCATCAGGAAGCCCGAGCGGATCCCAGGCCCACCTGGACCCTGTAGAGCTGATCAGGCCACGTGCCAGAGCGGAGAATGTATCCCCCGGGACTACATCTGTGACGGGGAGAGGGACTGCTCGGACGGAAGCGACGAGTTCCGATGTGGTAAACACTGCAGCCTCATGCACGTTCCAAGCAAAACATACATGCAGGAACATGTGCTGTAGTCATCCTCTCATCTGCTCCCAGGTACTCCATCTCCCTGTGAACCCAACGAGTTCAAGTGTAGAAATGGCCGCTGCGCCCTCAAGCTTTGGCGTTGTGATGGAGACAATGACTGTGAGGACAACTCAGATGAAACAGACTGCCGTAAGTCTTTTTCACAATATGCGCTCATTCGTGACCGCACTTGTTTACGAGTGATTCAAAGTTGATGTAAATCTCCATTTTTCTCGTAACCGCAGCCACCAAGGGTCCTGGCGACAGGTGTGCCCCTGAGCAGTTTGAATGCCTCAGCGATCGCTCCTGCATCCCTGCCAGTTACCAGTGTGATGAAGAGCCGGACTGCCCTGACCGCTCCGATGAGTACGGCTGCAGTAAGTCTCACACCAGCAGCTCTCACAATATTTCTTTCTCTTTCCTTCTCTTCACACATTTCCCCCCTTTTCACTTATCGCAGTGACTGCTTCTTTGACTGTCTCCATATTCACCCTCTTGAGTTCCTTTTGTACGCTGTGAGTGAATTTGCTGTGAACCGGGCTTTTTTCACACATGTGGTGACGGGAGACACAGAGCTTTTTGTGAATCGTCCATTCCTCAGAACTGAAAGCGAATTGTCCGTCCACAGCGGAGAATTCCATCTCCTCCGACTGTCGGGGATTTACGCGCTTCACTGGTTCGCCAAATTCCAGTCACACGCCGGCCTTTTTTCTGTATATGTGCATTCATTATGTGGCTTGTCACTTCACAGCCCCCCCCTCTGTGACAAGCCCACCGGAAGAGTCCGTCCAGGCAGCTCGGGGAGGGACAGTGACCTTTACCTGTCAAGCGGTCGGAGTGCCAACACCCATCATCACCTGGAGACTCAACTGGGGACACATTCCCGTCAGCGGCAGGTGGGTTTGATGAGATAATCTCGGCTCCTCTGATGTTTAATCGTCAGCACTGGATTTAAAGCAGCGCAGCATCACTCTCCATGGAACTGATTTTGTTGAAACCTCTGCCTCAGCTGAAAGCCAGCATTCCCCACGTGATAGCATCGTAAGATTTATTTTATTTATGAATTTATTTTGCTTTGTTTGAGTCTTTGAAACCATCGTATAACGATTGTTCAGACTGTGATCTAAATTAAGATTTTTGTGTCGCACTGCTGACTCCAAAAGTTGCTGTTTCAGAAGGTTCATTCTGGGTGTGGTCTGCTGTGTGTTCACTGACAGTTGAACTCTGTAGATTTGTGTGTGAAAGTCTGTCAGCAAACTGTTACCATGAGCATCAGAAAGAGCAGGTTTCTCATTGCTTTATTGACATAGGTGCTCCTGAAAATTTCACATCTGACTTCTTTGAATAGTTGATGTTAAATCCACAAGCTGTCAAAACCAAACTTTGTGTCTTCCCCAATGTAAAGTGAGCAGCCTTCCCCCCCCAGTCCCTCACCATGACGATAGCTGCATGGCTGACGTAATCCACTCATGATTTCAGATTAAAAGTTTATTTATTGATCGACTTGTTTACAAGCTTTGCAAACGCGTGCAGGACTTCCGTGTTTTGTCTGACACAGCCGGGGCCACTTGGTTATCAGGTCGACCCATGAAGACTTTTACTCTCTAGAGGTACTTCTTACTACAAAGTAGTAATTTTTGTCGTATTTCTGTAGGATCTCCATGACCAGCGAGAACGGCCGCGGCACCCTCACCATTCGTGACGTCAAGGAGGCGGATCAGGGGGCCTACACGTGCGAGGCCATCAATGCCAAAGGCCTGGTGTTTGGTATCCCTGACGGAGTGCTTACACTCACATCAAATTCCAACCCAGGTACTTTCACGACATTTCTACTGTAGCTTCTCCACCAGAAACACCGTTAAATATAATTCAAATAATTCCCACATGTCTTATCTTGTTCTCTCCAGGCAACTGTCCCAGTGGTCACTTCAGTGTGGAGGGCCGCTGTGTGTCCTGCTTCTGCGCCGGAATCACCAAGAACTGCAAGAGCACCGGCCGCTACCGCAACCGGATCAGCCTGCGTTTCACTGTGGAGGAAGATTTGAAAGGCAGTTACACTACTGACACTGATTAAACTGTTTGAGAGTTAACATGCAGTAATCTGGAACACTAAATGCAGCCCTAACATTTAGCATAAACCAGCCTGAGTGAATCTGTTGTATTTTTTCCAGGAGTGAATGTCACTTATCCATCCAGGCCAGGCACTCCTCCTCTCTCCTCCACTCAGCTCCTCATCAACCCTGAAATGGAAGAGTTCCAGCTCGTCGACCTGTCACGTCGTTTCCTCAACCTCGACTCCTTCTGGACTTTGCCTCGCCAGTTTCTGGGCAACAAGGTAAGGAGTGTAATTCTTTGCAGGCTTTTATTTCATGAAGTTGCAATTGCACATTTGCATGAAAAAACATTCCACCTCTTTTTAGATCGACTCCTATGGGGGATCCCTGAAGTACAAGGTGCGGTACACTTTGGCCCGCGGTCTGTCTGAGCCCGTGGAGAAGCCAGATGTGGTCCTGGTTGGAAACGAACGCAGGCTTGTGTACCGCAGAGGCAGCGCCACACCTGCCCGAGAGGTCAACCAGAAAGAGATCAAATTCACTGAAGTAGGTCTTTGGATAAGAATATTTGAGATTCTGTACAATCCTGTGGTAGATTTGGGTTGATGACATATAATTTAGTTTTATCATGAAAATACAAAATGATATAACTCTTAAGTATCTGTTTCATATATCAGTGGACCTCACTTTTGCTGTTTTAGGATAAATGGCAGCACTCCAATGGTCGTTCTGTGAGTCGGGAGGATCTGATGATGACGCTGGCCAACCTGGACAGCATCAGCATTCGCACCATCTACGACAACCACATGGTCAGCGTGGCGCTCAGCGACATCGTCATGGATACCACCACCGTGGAGTTCAGCACTCTGGGTCACGCTAAGGATGTGGAGGAGTGCAGGTAGGAGAAGTACTCGTGCTTCATACTGTGAGGTTATGTGAGGTGGAGACTGCGTACAAAGACGTCAGTCAGCAGTCTGCGATCCCAGCAGCCTGTTGGGACGCGTTCAGTGTGCAGCGTGTTTCCAAGTGAAGAAAATTTAGTTTGAATGTTTTTTTGTGAACCACGAAAATGTGACCACGACATAAAATTTAATGTGCGTGGTCATTTTAAAGTATTTTGCTGCAGTCACTTTTATTTTATTGACATCTTTAAGTAAAATGTGTAGTGTTGTGATCTGATCTGTCATCAAAACAAACTTGTCCTTCACAGATGTCCCCCTGGATATACGGGCCTGTCCTGTGAGGTGTGTTCCTCTGGTTTCGAGCGCGTCCCCAGCGGCTCTTATCTCGGCACCTGTGCTGGATGCAACTGTAACGGACACGCCAGCGCCTGTGACCCAATCAACGGACACTGTCTGGTAATAGCTCCTTCCTGAGAACCGATCAGTTGTAATTCACAGATTGGACGCTAACTGTGAAGCTAGTGATTAGCTTTCTTCAAAATAAAGCATAGAGGAAAACCATGCCCACCAATACATTCACTACCATGTTGCATTTTCTTTTGCTGCAGAATGAACATGCATGTAAAAATAAAAAGTTGTGGCTGGAACATGAGGTCACTGCACACAACAAAAAAACTCCCAGAAAACACTTCTTCAAATGCTAAGCTAAGCTAGTAATGTGTGGTTATAGCTTCAAAGTGTGAAACAGGCTTCCCCCCAAATTTTGCAATCTTTATAAAACTAAATTCGTGGGAATGCATGTCGGAGAATGAGCAGTGTGCTCCCCCCACCACAGAGCTGCCAGCACAACACAGAGGGCCCTCAGTGTGACAAGTGCCGCCCCGGATACTTTGGTGACCCGAGCCGAGGTCGCCCCGATGACTGCAAGCCCTGCCCCTGCCCGTACTATGAGACCTCACGGCGGTAAGGTCACAGACTCAGACCACACACACACACACACACACACACACAGCAAAAACACATCTACACTACCAACGCAGAAATAAACACAAACACCCATACCACCCACAAAGCGTCATTGGGAATGGGGCTGTTTTGCCCTGCAGGGTTTTTGTCTTTTAATTTACAAAAGCTGAGCTCACTCAAATATCTGAGTGCTGGTTTATTCATTCAACATGCAACTCATTAACCCGCTGCTGTAAATTCTAAATCCTGGCTTTATCGTTGGGCTTTGCAGGTTCTCTGACACCTGCTTCCTGGATGTCGACCAACAGCCGACGTGTGACGCCTGCAGGCCCGGCTACACAGGAAGGCGCTGTGATAAGTGAGGAAACTGAAGCCATTAACTGTGGCTTTAGATTGTGTTTTTCGGTTCATAAGAAATAATATCAATCTTTAATAATCAGACATAAATGGTGAATGTCATGATACATAGCATACATGATAATGATGATTATTATTTACACAGCCTCTCATAAAACATGGTTTTGAAGATGGAAGATTGATAGTAACGAGGAAAACAAGCTATAGCTGATTTGTCTTATGTGTCTTATATGTTTTTGTTTTATTTCAGATGTGCCTCTGGTTACCACGGTAACCCCCTTCTTCCGAATGGAAAATGCGTCCCTAACCGTGAGTTTGAAATTCTCAAAGTTCAGCATTATGATCACAAGGAGGTCTTAACCCTGTGGAATGATTACCATCGGGTTTTCCCCCTGCTGTTACAGTAGGCTGTAGTATGTGGTCATGGSTCAGGTATGCGGAGTGGCTGGAACACTCCCAGGTTCACTTTCCTCCCCCATGTCATCGTCTTTCCACCGCTCTCTCCCTGCAGAAAGCTCCAAGTGTGATAGCAGAGGAACCATCAGCTCCAGCAGCAGGCCGTGCAGCTGCAAGGTATACATGCAGCATGGTTAACTGCAGAGTGAAAGACAAGGATTATATCTTAAGCATGTATCTGCAGCTCATTTGTGGTCTTGACACAAACTGTGTTTTATAACCTGCCATCTTTTATTCAAACGAGCTAGACAGGCAGATGGATTACATGTGTGCACGTGTCTGTGTGTGTTTCAGAACAACGTGGCAGGCGCTGTGTGTGACGAGTGTAAGCCAGGGTTCTTCCACCTATCGGAGGCCAACTCCGAGGGCTGCCTACGCTGCTTCTGCATGGGCGTCACCAAACAGTGCGCCAGCTCCACTTGGAATAGAGATCAGGTTTGTTGCCAGACTCTGAATGGAGAAGGGAGTGGTGAATATTTTTGGTATCAAGACTTTGACTCAGTGTTTGTGCAGCTCTGCTTTATCAGCAAAATCCTTTCTGATGCTAAAAGGCGAGGTGCAGTGGCGGGGATGAAGTGTAAATCTCAGTCTGACGAATTTTCTTGTCTGTCAGGTGCGGGGAGGAGTGAACGGGCAGCTCTTCTCCCTCTCCAACAGCGGCAACACTAAAACTATCTCTGAAGGCATCTCCCAGCAGGGCTTCTCTGAAGTCGTCTACCGCTCCTTCTCCAGCATCCCCAGCGACGTCTACTACTGGGTGCTTCCTGAGAGCTTCAGAGGAGATAAGGTGGGAGAAAACAACAAAGCAAAGAGCCGCTATGATAAGAGGGGAAAATAACTGCCAAGTGTTAGTCAGGCGAGATCTCTCTGCCCTCTCTGTCCCACTCAGTCATGTCTCAACATGTTGTCAAGTGAAAAGTTTGCACTTAGCAGCACAGCGAGCCTCCTTTGAACCTCTTACTTGAATTCACTGCCCAGCCCAACATGGAAGTCTTGTGACTTCCCCCTCACCATCATAGGGGTGAAATACCTTTCCACCATTCTTGTTCTGTTAAGAAGAGCTTCTCTTTTCATCATTTTGCTCACAGGTGACGGCCTATGGCGGAGAGCTTCGCTACACGGTGCGCTTTTCCCCATATCAGCGTTCACTGGGGATTGACGGTCAGCCGGATGTGGTTCTCCAGGGCAACGGAATCTTCCTGGAGCACTACTCCCAGATCAAGCCCCTCCCACGCGTCCCACAGGCCATCACTTTGACCTTTAGAGAGGTGGGTTTCATTAGAGTGCCCTGAAGCTAAATTTGAGTCCTCACACTTTGTGACTAGACTAACTTTTCTCTTTGTCTTTGTCTGAAAGTCTGCCTGGCGTCGCGCTGATGGGCAGCCATGTACTCGTGAGCACCTCCTGATGGCGCTGGCTGACGTTAGCCTCTTTATGATCAGGGCCTCCTACACAGACAACATGGACGAGAGCAGGTACAGTTGCAGTACACATCCTATACCTCAAAATAAATCCAGAGGTATTCCATTTAATAGTGTGTGTTGTTTGTGTTAAATAGTATCTCAGACATCAAGATGGACATCGCTGTTCCTCACTCCACTGGTAATGAACGAGCTCTGGAGGTAGAGGAGTGCGCCTGCCCTCAGGGATACCAAGGACCCTCCTGCCAGGTACAGAGTTCAGAGAAGTAGCTTTGACATACACTGACTTTATCCAGAGGGGCTGTAGGTGAGAACGCAAATGTCTAAGTCAGTTGCTGCAGACATTCTCCGGAGTTTCTCCTGCCAGCCCCGTTAGCAGAGACTCCTGAGTGAGACCTCGGAGTGAGCAGAGAATACAGCAGGTGATTATCTGGAGGATTCACCGTGAGCAAGGGGGCATGTTGATAACGTTTGTAACACGTGATGGACGCAAAAATGACAGATGACCGACTGTCCGACTGAACAGTCCTTGTCTGTGAACAGCTACTGTCTATATCAAAGAGTTGAAGTCAGCTCAGTTGTCATGCTGATAAAAGATTTGGGTAAAACCTCCATTAAAAGTCAGTCAGTCAAAATTAGTTTTTTGCCAAAAATATTTTTCCTGAGGTCATGTATGAACCTACATGCCCTCGTTCAGGTTAGTTCTCTGAAAAAAAGAAAAAGGTAGATACAGCTATGCCTTGGCTTGTAAAGAATAATCTTTTTTTTCCATTCCAGGCTATGATAATAATTGCAGTCTGTCTCCCTGCTTCTCCGCTGTGTTTCTCTTTGTCATCACTTGTCTCTCACCTGAGGTGTTTTTCCGTGTGGTTGCAGGAGTGTGATGAAGGATACACGCGGACCAGCTCCGGCCTTTACCTGGGCACATGTGAGAGGTGCGACTGCAACGGTCACGCCAGTGGCTGTGACCCAGAGACTGGCAGTTGTCTGGTAGGTTTGATGCTTCTATTGCTTCCCTCTCTATTTACTTCTACTCTAGAACATGGTTCGATCTCTGCTGAGGAATGCACTCGTGGTTTCTTGGCTAATTCCCACATGTTGGAAACACACCGTCATCTGTTCCGTCGATCTCACCTCTTCTCTTCTTTTCCCGACTTAAAGCAATGTCTCCATAACACTGCCGGGCAAAGGTGTGAACGCTGTCAGCCTGGTTTCTATGGAAACCCTGTTAGAGGCGGTGCTCAGGCCTGCCAGCCCTGCCCCTGCCCTGGAACCACATCCAGCAACCAGTGAGTTCATGTCTAAAAGTCATTCAGTTTGAGTCAGGTTTATTCAGATTCACAAACTATTCCAACTACTGCTGCGTTAGAAAAAGTAAACTGTGAAACACACAAGTTGATAAATCCCTTAATTTAAGATCATCATAATAACCAGATGTCAAACTTCTCTCGCCACAGATTCTCCCCAACCTGTTACCTGGAGTCTGACGGTCAGCCGACCTGTGACAGCTGCCCTCCCGGATACACTGGCCGACGCTGTGAAAGGTACATTCCTCTCCTTCTCTTTCTGCTTTTCCTTTTTTCCACTCTGTCCACCTCAGGGTCGCCTGGACGCTGCTCAGTGTGTGGGGTTACCGAGCGGGTCGGTAAGCAGGGGCTGGCACCGGCACCAACTGGGTTCCCTCAGAGGAAATCAATAATACAAGCATGTCTGTGGTTCGCATCTTGCTCGTTTTTCTAAGGCCATTGTGTTTGAGTGGTGTCAGTGGAGGGAAGGGAGACTGTGCCACCCATTCTAATGTAAATATAAAATTGTGTGCTGTAGTCTTGTTTTTCCCACATCTGCTGTTGGATGTTGTTTTGTACTGTGGCAGAATAATGTGTATTTGTTTTATGATAAGGGTTCTTCCTTGGTTCTCAGAATGTCTTCACTCCGATTTTGTTTGTGGAGCAGAAAGAAGTAGATATAGTAGTTGTGCTATATCTCCTAGAAGCTTTGACATAAATTGGGTTAAACTTGTGCTTTATTCTTTCTTTTGCTTTCTCAGTAATTTCCCCTCTGCTTCAGCTTTGCGCTTGTGATTTTTTAAGGTGTTGGCTCGTGTGATTTCTGCACAGACCAAATGTATTTTCTGGGATTTTTTCTACGACATAAATGTAGATGTGGCATTTATGAGGAGTCCTGTCTGGCTAATGAATCTTTGCCGCTCCGAAAGGGCAAAGATGAGAAAGGTGACTTTGGGTGAAAAGAAAGTTATCAATACTTTATTATATGAAGGTCTCTGCCTGCATCATACCTGACTCTGCTGTTTTGACATTAAGAGAGGAGAAGCCCTCTGCAGACAGTTGTGGGGACCCGTTCCTGGGGAAGCAGACAGAGGGCTTCCTACCAGTGGGATGTGGAGCCGAAGCGGTGTTTAATTTCAGTTGGGAGAAAGAGATAATACCATATGGCAGTGGAGTTGAGGACGACAATGATGATGACGACATTTACTTAATATCCCCTGATACCACCGTCATCCCTACAAGGACTTTATTGTCTACTGCAGCTATCCGTCGCACCACCCAATCCACAAAAGAGGTGGGGACTGTCTCAGTCACCCCCAGTAGATCAACATCCAGACTTCCACCGCGCTTCACACCCAGCCCAGAGAGCAGACACTCCAGCTTCCAGCACCTGCTCCGGATCCACCTGAACACCTTTAACAAGCGCCTGAGCATGCTGGAGAGCAACACGCTTGATATGAAGGAGAGCCTTCGCAGCATTCACGACCAGCAGAGTCATCTCAGCTCCCAGCTGAAGGAGCTCATCGCTATCCAGTTGGCCGGGGAGAAGAACAAGAAGGTTGGCGAGCTGGAGAAGGGCTACACGGACATGGAGTCCCGTCTGAGCAGACTTGAGGGAAGGCTAGAAATTCTGATCGATGGCTTCACTGCCCTGGCTCAGGAGATGAACAAGATGAAACGTGTAAGACACATCGCTCGGTCGCCCCAGGAAAGGAGGGCTCTGCCTTCACTCAGCACAGTCCTAGCAATCCCGTTGTACTCAACATCCCCACGTCCTTTCAGAATTACACCAACAGAAACACCACTCACCAGACGAGCCACAGTATCCAAAAGCATAACCCCCCCAGGCCTCCCCGCAAACAAACCCACCTCTGCTCCTCAGAGAGAGAGAAAACTCAAACTAGCAGCCACCAAGAAGCCTGATACAAAAACTGAGAAACTCCAATCAGTCACGAGGTCACCCAGAAGTCAAGTCTCCACAAGTTCTGCAAAGAAGTCAAAGACGACCTCAAACAAACCAAGGATTTCATCTAAAATCAAACCAAAAGATATGCTGAAGCCTGAAACCAAAAGGCAAGAGGGTAGAAGAGCGAAACTTGTTTCCCAGCCAAACCAAACACGATCAAAGAAAGTCAAAGAAGAGGCAACAATAACAAAATTTCAACTGGAGCCTCCACCTCACAAATCAAAATCAGCTGGAGTTCCTCAGCTGCGTAAACAATCTGACCAGGCCAAAGAAAAGGATTCTGCACTGCCTATTAAAAACAACGGACGTAGTAAGGTGTTTAGATCAGATGCACCAGTTCCTGTTCCAGAGAGTGGGAAGTCTTCAAAAGGTGATTCAAAGACTTCGTCAAAATCACAAAACAAGAAAAATATGCGCAACTCGTACAACTTGGCTTCTCGCAAATCAAAGCATTCTGCTAAGGACACAACAACAACAACCACAAAGCCGACCGTGTCTACTACTGTAAAGAAGTCTAGAACAAAAGTAAAAACAACAACCACTGCTAAAACCAAGGTTACTACCGTGAAGAAGAAGATTACCACAACGGCAAAAAGGACATCCACTCCCTCCAAAACCAAATCTACAACTACTGCGAAGAAAGTAGCCAAGAAACCGCAGAAGAAAAAGTCGAAGAACCCTCATTCTGGTGTTTTGGATCTGCTGCGGCTGCTGAAAGGGGATCGAAAGTCTTCCGAGCACAAAACAAATCAAGATGGTTCTCTTCATGTTGTCCTGGGAAGGCTGGCCATTCCTATCAAAATTATTCCTGATGACTAGGGAATAACGTTTAGTCCTTCATTATTTTTTTCTATTGTTTATACCCGATCCTTATATTTAAGTGTGTTACTGCTACCAAGACAATTCGACTTTATGAAGGGACTGATTTTATGACACTGGTTAATCGCAGTGGGACCTTCCAGATGTTTTAATGTTATCCTGATGTGTTAATTTTAGTATTTTTGCATTAATGGCTTTAGAGGTGTATTTTTATGACAAAACTGTTGCACAAAATTCTTCCATGAAGAGATGGTTTTGCATTAGTACCGTTTATATGCAAACATACATGTATGTATATGTATGTATAGCTAGACTACCTCAAGTTTTATCCGTTTCTTTCGTATTTAAAATCTCATGCACATCATGCCTGTTTCCTGTATTCACATGTGTATGTCTCCAGTATATGTTTCATATGGTTCTGTAACCTAACACCTTCGTATCACCCTGTGTTTTCTGGAGATAATATATTCTTTGTGATGTACGCACTGCATTTTGTTCTTAATAATGAAATCAGTTAGTTCTAAAATCTTCTACGTGTAAGGTTGGTAAAATTATTCAGTAAAATTCATAGATATTGTGCCAAGATTCAACGAAAAAGAACCAGTACATTATAGACAAGATTAACAATCTAACTTGCTGCAAATTTCCCAGAATATAAAACTTCTAGCTGTGCTATTAATGTCAGTCCAGGGATGGTGATGTCAGTCTGTCCATCCATTCGGTCCAGTTTTAGAAGACATTCGTGGCCCCCAGAGGATGACGCCTATTGACTATGGTGGATCAATGACTTCTTCTTTAGCGCCAACACAAGACTGACTTTTGGAAAGATTGTTATGACACCTGATAGATAGTCATGTAACTTAAATGAAGCCCTGACTGTTCATGTAGCACCAAGATTAAAGTTTCTCTAAATGGCCAAATAAAAGAGACATGTCCATCAGTCTCAGCTGCACTGAGACATTTAGGTGCTAAGCATGATACCTATAAACGTAAGCATGCTGCCATTGTGGGTGTGTTAGCATGCCAACTTTTAGCTCAATGCACATGGCTGCAGTCCCTTACTCTTGTTTTCTGATGGAATAATTGCTTGAGAAGCAGAAATTAGTTTTGCAAATCCTGTCGTCTTCTGCCGGTTACATTACGTGGTGGTGAAAAGACGAGATGTTTTTTGGTTAATCCAGTTCAGCTCCATGTTGTGATTGGCTGAAATAAAAAGGGATCATCTGCTGCGGAGCACGAAATTTTCTGATAATGTTCTGATATTTCCTGTGTACCTAATGATATTTTGGCCCAGTGTTGGCACCACAGAGCAACAGTTGGATTCATCTGTTGGGGACCATGAATGTTCATCATCTTTATTGCATACATATGGCCAGTCAATAGACTGTCCACCCTTTATTTCTACTATAGCTCTCAAGCTTATGTCTATAGTGTTAGAAATACCAATCAACCTAGTCTCCAAAATCACATCTATATCATTTTAAGAGTGACAAAAAAGTGAAATCTGTCATTTCATTGTTTGATTGTGTTGTACCACATGTTCATGTTTCATGTTATGCTTATTATGAGCTGTATGTCCCTTCTTTTATGGACACTTGGTATTTTTAAGACCATATGTATTTTCTATTTCCTTATGTAACAAGTCATTATACATATCTTTACATCTATAAAACCAAACTCATTTGAATGACTAACAAGGTAAACCACACCTTAGAAACTACTCATCTCAGACATTAGTTTAATTGGGATTTTGCAAAGTGAGTTCATAGCACGGGAGTCTTCTTTGTTGGCCGTTGACCTGCGGACCTGGACAGTTGAGGTAAGATTGACGGCAGCCTGCACAGATCTGCTGCTGGATAAAGCCTTTGCTCTGGTGGCAGTGGCGTTGTTAGCTTGGGTTGGAGGCAAATGGCTTTTTGCTGTGTCACAGTATCAAGAATAACTTTCCTCTTTAGCTGCTTAGCATCTTGATCTGTTGCTCATTCTATCTGCTCTGCTCTCTTCTGCTTTGTTCTGATATCAGTTGGGTATTTGTAACGTTTTTTTTTTTAGAAGTTTGGCTGAGAGATGGAATCAACATCTGAGACATGTTGAATGTTTTGGCAGCAGCTATGCTTCATCCATCTCCCGTACAAGCAGTGTTTGCCATCTTTTTCTCTGGGAAAACTGTTTGTATATTACAAAATCTGGGTGTTGCTGATTTTTTAGGTCATGTCGATATCAGACCAGTCTTTGGTGTAGAAACATGTACTTGAATGTTCCCCTTTGTTCTTGGTTGAGGTTTGTCTTGGGAAAGAAGACTCCCTAAACAGTAGAAATCATCAAATGTATCACCTCTTGCAGACTTCCCAGCTTCCTGCCTCATTGTTCTTTGAGTAAAAACTTGTATCCTCCTTGACTTGAAATATTTACTCAAACATACTCTATTTTTATTTCAGATGTGCAGCAGGATACACTGGCAACCCCCAGCTTGGACAGAGATGTACTGTTGGCAACAACGAAGTCAATGGTACATTTGGTATTTTGAAAATGACTGATATTGCTCCATCTTCTGGATTATCCTTCATCCTCACAAAATATTCCTTTCATTTTACTGATCTGAATTCAGCAACGTGTCTTTCACCAGTGAGTTGCAAACTCAAACTATCTGCTCTGCTGCCCTGCGACAGGTAACTGCTATAACTGTGACCAAAGAGGACAGGAAAGCTGCATTAATGGCGTGTGCCGCTGCAAGGTGATGAAACGACTAACAACTCAACACAAACTCTCTGGTTATGTATCCTGTCATTGACTTACATCTCATTCCCTGTGACGCTGTGTTACAGATGAACACTGAAAGTCCGTCGTGCTCCACCTGCAAGACCGGAACCTTCCATCTCAGCCAGGAAAACAAAGACGGCTGCCTGTCCTGTTTCTGCATGGGCGTCACTCAGCAGTGCTCCAGCTCCACATTCTACAGAGACCTGGTAAGTCCTGCAACAAGTAATTGACTCCAGAGCAGTGGAAAGGTTCACACTCAGGGAATACATTTTAACCTCTCTGCAACAGTTTGCTCTGGATACAGCAGCCATGCAGGCGTTTCGGCACAAGAGATACACAGAGAAAAACATGTCTGGTTAGGAAAGTCTAAATTTCAGATGCAAGTAGTCCCAAGTCTCTGCAGTGACAAAGACTAGCTGATAAATCCTAATGTTAGAAATTATATCTGCACACCTTCCCTCCTTTTCAGTTCATAACTGCAACATTGAATTATAATATATATTATATTATTGTCTGTTGAGAAGGTCTGCAGTTGCATAAGGAATCTAATGTTGTGGAAGCTTTAAGTTACATTTAATGCAACAATCATCAGCAGCAGTTCACAGAACTCGTGAGTTTATTTTGGTTTCAGTTCAGTTTTTCCATAAATGTAATAATCGCAATGTTGTTGACAAATAAAAGTCCATAATGCCACTTATACATCATTGAAAAAAAAATTGCTCCTTATATCTCTAGAAGTTGCCCGACGCTTTGAAAGGAAACATATCATCATATTGATGTTGATGATTTAAATTTATGTTCTTACTTGAGAAAGTTCAGAAAACAATCACTTTCCTCACTTTTCTAATTGTGCTCTTGCAGGTGTCCTCAGTTTTCGCTCCAGGGAACTTCCAGGGCTTTGCTCTGGTGAACCGTCAGCGCACCAGCCGCATCTCTACCGGCTTCACCGTGGAGGTTTCCACTGAAGGCACTCAGCTGTCCTACTCCAACTTTGACTACCTGGGACAGGAGCCTCACTACTGGCAGCTTCCAGGGGTCTACCAGGGAGACAAGGTCAGTACCGGAGAGCAAATACAGCAGATAAATTAGCCGAAGCAGCCAAAGAAAGACCACAAACCCCACAGTGCTGCACTTGAGAGGGTTGAGCTGCACTCACCAGAAACTGGTAGACCGCTGTTCTTCTATGGCTGACTCCATTTCGCTGCTTTTTCTTTCTTCAAAATCCTGCCAATGTTCCATTTCAAGCAAATTTGTGCAGATGTCTTTCTCTTTTTCAGTTTTCCTTTAAATCTGTCACAAAGTTGTGCGTAGACTTCCAGGCCTCAGCATCCACGTACATAGCATCATTTGTATGTGTGTGTTTGCCTCTTTCACTCTTTATAGAAAGATTCGTTCTTTTCTCGAACAAAACGAGCGGAACAGGTACAGTGACGTCAGTCAGTGGTTGTCATGTTGTACAGTGTTGTTTGGCATGTTTGAAGTAATTGTTGAAGTGGCATTTTTAATGTACTGTTGCTGTAGAAATCATCACATTAATCATGTAATGTGATTTATGGCTGTTTTTAGAGGCATGGTACTTTGACAGCAGTGTTCAGCAAGGCGCTTATTTTAGGTTTGACTGCATACTGCAAACATTTGCTGCCTGATCCGCATCACATGAGGCATGTAAATGGGTTGATCATTAATGGTCCATTAAAGAGCTTCATACAGTTTAACTTTGCTCGAATAACGGCACCATAACACTCCCGAATACCATCAGCTCAGTGGTAAGGAAAGTGATCAAAGAGCTTGTTTCATCCACATCAATAGAGTGACTCAGAGGAACAGCTCAAGAAGGATGCTTCCATTTGGAACCTGATGGCTGCAGAGCGTAAAGACACCCACAGATCCAAAAGAGCTGGCCAGGTATTTGGTTTGAACTGTAGCGAAGGCAGTCTCTCACACGTCTAATCAGAATAACTGAGGCACAGTGTTTCTGCTAACACGCTCAGAGCTTGAGGACGTGTACGGAAACAAAAGGTTCATAGATGTGGCAGCATGGAGAGTCGAGGGGTCACTGAGCAGGCATGCATCCGTTTGACTGCCTGTGGATTTGCGTTTGTGTGTGAATCACAGAGATCCGTAGTTGGCATGCAAACTCGAGGATTTTAATATTTCGTCGGTGTGATGTCAGTGAGAACAATTTACATGAGCCTAAACATTTATTTTATTTACCTCCTCTTCTACGTTACTACAGCGCATGTTAACACATTTTCTAAAGTCAGACGTAACCATCCGACATTAACTGGTTTGTCCGAGTATGTGCACGTTAACCAGGATTACTGCATTCAGGAATCCAGCATGTTCACGTTCAATTCTTAAACCCTTTATCCGTCATTTTGACTGTTGCCATGGTTACTTTATCTCCGGTACTCCACTTTCCGCCTCCCCAGGGTGATGTCAGACAGCTGGATGATGAGGTCTGGGCGCTCTTCTCTAACTTCTCCAATGGACGAGCGGGTTCCCCTCCATTCTTTCCCTCCTCCTTCTCTAAATCCTCCTCCTCCTCCTCCTCCTCTTCCTCCTCCTCTTCTTCTTCTCGGGTCCCAACTTCCTCCTCCTCCTCCTCCTCTTCATCCTCTCGATGGTTGTTGCGTAACCTGAGCCCCCCTTCTCCTCCGTCTGGTATCTCCTCTTCAGTTAGGCCAACCAGACCCCAGCCCTATTCCCCAGGCTTCGCTCCTCACCTGCAGGTACACTGTGTCAGCGAGTGTGGGAAGGTTATGGATTGTTCATGAGTCCTTTTTTGTTGTTGTTGTTGTTGTGTTTTGCTCATATCGTTGACTTCTGCTGTTTCCCTTTGGGGTCTGGCTCTGCTGCGGACCAACAGAGCAAGAACAGAGTGAGCAAGACTTCTGCTAGTGCTTCTACGGACAGCCGCAAGGTAGACAGTGGCATGACGTAGTAACTGACTTAATCCGTGTTTAGACCTGGGATTAACATCCGTCCTGAAGTATCTGATCACGAGTGGACAGCGCTAAGTTTGTCTGATTATACCCGACTTTAAAATGCAACGTGAATGTGTCTCCTGTGACCATTTGTGATCGGCTCTGACTTCAAATAATCCAGATGTCATTTGTGTTTGTGAAGATCTGTTTGTGTTGTTTTTTACCCAGTTTGACTTTACAGACGTGTCCGATGATGTAATAAGTTAATAAAAAACAGCTTGTCCTCAGTTTGTTCAGGGCAGTTAATATTTTCTTTCTCAAACTTAGATTATGATCTACTGAAGTAATGCGGAACAGTTTCGAGTGGATAGGTCACGTAATGCCAGTGATCGACTGGGTGGTATTTTCCAGGCAAACTCCCACTGTGCTGTCACTGTAATTGACCACTTGAGACTGACATTGGTTTTTTACGATGGTCTCTAATTACACCAAACTAAAACTGTCATTTTCACGTTATCGACAGTGGGAGCTGTTGTTCTATAGTCGTCAGATGAAAGCCTGGGGAAACTTCCACGCTGTTGCTCGTCAGCATCTTTAATAGCACTTGCACATGAAAGCATGCACTTAAAAGAGTTCAGCACATTTGTCCTGAGAGTCTTATCTCCTCTGTCTGCTCATGTCTTAGCCTCGCTGCCTCTGTCTCTTCCTCTGTGGCTTATTCTCTTGTGCCGTCTCCTTCCTCCTCTGCCTCTCAGTACGCTCTGGTCTACAAAGGTTTCAGCTTGCACCAGGATGATCTGCTCTACTGGCAGCTCCCAGCGCAGTTCACGGGGGACAAGGTAACTGTGGAAAGATGTGTCCCCTCCTGACCCCTGGTCCTCCTCATCATCATACTCCCTCCTCTTTAGTCCCTCACATGTCCACACTCCCTATGCCCTTAACTACCTTTTTTGTCCTTTACTTTTACTATCTCTACTTGACTTCTATTCCTCCATGTAATAAAAAAGAGAAAAAGCGCTTGTGCCATTTTGCCATGTCAAGTACACCCCTCATTTTTGTTTATAATCCATATTCACTCCTTCCGTCAGAAACGCATAATTTAAAATACAAGTACCCTTAATGCACTTTGGGTTTTACCTGTATGGCTGTCAGTAATTTACGAAACAAAAGAAAGGAAACTTGCGGAAGTAATAATACTTTCTTTTGTGTCATTAAATGCACCATTCGGGGTCTTTAAATAAAAACAATAACAAAAGATACTGTGAAGCAGCGTAGGATCATGAGAGTTGCTTTCTTATCCCAGTTGATCCCAGGTTTTTAACTGGGAGCCGAATTATCCGTAGAGCCCTCCTCCACTTCAAAACAAACACACCTGGTGATTAAATCCAGGGGAAACATGTAGTAAAGCAGTTTCATGGTAAAAAATATGTGTTTCTTCAAAGCTGTTTTGCGAACACAGGAGGTCTTGGAGGAACCTGAGCTCCTGTTATGTTCAAAGAGGATGTGACAGCGTTCACAGGCGACTAAATGAAAGGGGCTGTTTGATTATTGATCACTAGTGATAATTGATTGTGGATTTCTCTAGGTTGGAAAACTTATGAGATTAGATAAGAACACAACTCTGTAAAATACAGAACAAAGGTCTTTTTAGTTTTTTGACTGAGATTCAGTGACATCCATGGTCGAATCACAGCAGCCTTTTTAAAACCGTAACTTTCACATATTGTGGAAACATAAATGTTTTCTTTGCCCCGTCACGTCTTTGTAGTACACAGGATTTGACGTTACTAAATAGACGATGTTGCTATTGTTTATGTTACATCGTGGGAACGGCCGCTCTGTTTGACCTGGCACGAGATCTGAAGCCTCTCCCCTGTGAACCCTGTCTTAGGTCGGTTCGTACGGTGGTAAACTCAAATACACCATCTCCTATGTGGCCGGGCCAAGAGGAACACTGCTTGATGATGCCGACGTCCAGATTATTGTGAGTATATGCTCTCGTGCTGATTCGCTGTTTCTCTCTCGTGGTTACGTGAATTTGAAGCTTTTACTCACCTGCCGGCGTCGTTCCTGCAGGGTAACGACATCACTCTGGTGGCTCGTCAGCCCTGGCAGAGGAGGCAGCAGGGCAACAGAGAGACTAACCGGTTTGAGATTGTCTTCAGAGAGGTGAGTGGTGATCTGTGACCTTCTGACTCCTCGTCCTCCTCAGGAAGGAGAACCAAAAAGACATTTTGTTCCAGAGTAGACATAGTCTTCTCGTTTCGTAGGAAAACTGGAGTCGTCCTGATGGCATGCCAGCAACCCGCGAGCACCTGATGATGGTTTTGGCTGATCTGGATGACGTCCTCATACGAGCGTCATACTCCACTGAGATGCTATCCTCCAGCATCTCTGAGATCAACATGGAAGTGGCTGTGCCCAACTACAGCGGCTTGGCACAGGCCCTCGAGGTAGAGCAGTGTCGCTGCCCACCTGGATACCAGGGACTGTCTTGCCAGGTAATTAATCATTACGTCCGCCAAGGAGGTAGTTTTCACCTCTGTCGCACAAAGACAGCAAAAAAGATTTCCACTAAAAGGATGCAGTATGGGCTGTATTTACATCCTAATTTTCATTTTAGGACTGTGGCCCTGGATATACTCGCACTGGAGGAGGTTTGTACCTGGGTCACTGTGAGCTGTGTGAATGTAACGGCCACTCTGACTCCTGCCACCCAGAGACCGGCATCTGCACGGTACGAAGCACCACATCACTGCACAATGGCTCAACTGGGATGGCATGGACAGACGCATAAATAAAAATGACATGTCTCTCCTTCCAGAGCTGCCTGCACAACACTCAGGGTGAGCTCTGTGAGCAGTGCGCCCCTGGCTTCTTCGGCGACCCCACTGTTGGCACACCGGAGGACTGCCAGCACTGCGCCTGCCCTCACACTGACCCCGACAACCAGTGAGTACTGGCACAGATAACAAGACCTCGCATTCCACCTCCATTTATAACTCAAGACACATATCAGCGTCTGGCTCACTTGCTCTTGTTTACAGCAAACTCCACTGTCTTGTAAAATTCCGGAGACTCGTTGATTCATTTCCATTATTAACCTGAATTTCTGCCAACTGGCACCACATGTTGCACATTGATTTTCCTGCTGAGCTCATCTGGTGAAGTAGAGTGAAGAACTCTTTCAGTTTACTGTGAAAGTCTCGGACAGCTGCTAACGTTTTTAATCAGGTGTCATATTTTGTTGCCTCAGCCTCAGACTGCAGGGAATCAGTTGATTCTGATCCGTGCTGCCACTCTATAACTTAACTTCCTCTCTGTGTGTGTGTGTTTCACTCATGTGACAGGTTCTCTCCGACCTGCGAGAGCCTTGGAAACGGAGGCTACCAGTGCACCGCCTGTCAGCCGGGCTACACCGGCCAGTACTGTGAGCGGTAAGAAAACCCAACACCCTCTCCAGATGCGGAGTCACAGAAATCATTTCAAGTGGTAAGATTTGAGCTGTTTACGCTGTTGTTAAGTTTTTTTTCCACGTGTGTGTGTCGTCAGCTGTGCTCCTGGATATGTTGGAAACCCACAGGAGAGACAGAAGTGTCGCCCGTACGATGGTAAGGCTGCTTTTTTTTTTTTTTGCGATGCCCACAGAACCCTTAAGTGGAAAAAGCTCCCTGGTGAATTTGTCATTGCGTTTTGCAGCTGCAGCTTCTCTGGTGGTGAAGGTTTATCCAGAGAAGGTCCTGGCTTCCCATGGAGGCCCCGTCACTCTCAGGTGTCAGGTGTCCGGCTCGCCTCCTCACTACTTCTACTGGTCCAGAGAGGATGGACGGTCCATATCCAGCAGCGTTGACAGACGCAGACAAGGTACAGGACGCTCACAGACAAAATGCTGAGGCGTGGAAAGAGTTCTGATTCAACAGCTACATAAATTGCATATCACCGATAAACATACTTTAAGGGCCGACATGTTATGTGTGCAGGAGCAGAGCTGTACTTCCCCAACGTCCAGCCGAGCGACGCCGGCATCTACGTCTGTACCTGCCGAGACCAGCGCAGCACCAACAGGAGCCGCGCTGAAATCGTTGTCACAAGTGTGTATGATTCTCACTTCCATAACAGCCTGTAGGATTTTTCCCTCGAGCTGCTTATTGCAGGACACGAAATAGAAACCAGCCGTGGTTCAACACATGGGTTTGCTTAAGCACGGAATTACACAAGATCAGATTTTTCAGTTTGTGGTGTGGTGCAATCATGTTATCTGGAATTTTGAAAGTGATGGAAGATACAAAATGCACAAAGTCAGTTATGTATAGTTGTACATATATGTTTGAATCAGACGTGTCCTTAGGGTTTCTTCATTTTTCTATTGATGATAAAATACTTAAATCTTTATTTCACCAGGCGTCCCATCCAAAGCCATTGAGGTGACGATTGAGGAGCCCAAAACTCAGACTATCAGGGTGGGGTCGACCGTCAGCTTCATCTGCACAGCAAAGAGCAAGGTAACACTGATCAATCATTATCATCACATCCCCAAATTTGTTTACATCTGCTTAGACACGTTCCTTGATAATTAAATTATAATAAAGTTTCCTCTGTTATATACATTTACCTGTTAGATGTGACAGCAACAACCAGCAGCTGGTTAGATTTGCTTAATTTAGCAAACAGAGATGTGGGTCCTCTTTTCTTTAACCTTTATTCTAAAGTTAAGCTAATTTAACTCCTGCTTGTAATTTCATTTTTAAAAGACAGATATGAAAGTGGTATTGATCCAACTCTCAGCTAGAAAGTAAATAAGTGTATAATCTCAAACTATTCCCTTGAAATATTTGATTTTGTGTATGCAGGTGTATGAGTACATACATATGTACGTATAAATATGTATACAGCCTTTTTTTTATTATTCATACTGTATTTATTATTACACATTTTTCTACATGATACACAATGTAGAGCACAGGCAAACAATATATTTATAGATGAATAGGAAGCTGGTGAAGTGTAAGATAACTATGAATGAATGAAATAATAGTTTTTTAATTCAGTCTTACAAATAAATAAAAATGAATGAATGAATGGATGAAATATGCAGTGTGTTAACCCGCTCCCCCTCCACAGTCACCAGCCTACACCCTGGTGTGGACCCGCATGGGCAACGGGAAGCTCCCCAACCGGGCCATGGACTTCAACGGCATCCTGACGATTCAGAACGTCCAGCCCGAGGACGCCGGCGTCTACGTGTGCACGGGCTCCAACATGTTTGCCATGGACGAGGGCAACGCAGTCCTCTACGTGCCAGGTTCGTGATCCTCGGCACTGCCTTCCATTACCCATCACCCCCTGCAAACCTGCCACCCTACCAGCTCTGGCTCCTGTAGTCTCCCCTCCCCAAACCTGAGTCCCCCCCCCACCCTCCCCTCTGTCCAGCTTGGAATGGCGCATGCTTTTCTGTTTGACTGCATTTATCATTGTGCACTGTAAACACTGAGCTCTGGGTTAACAGCATAATAAGCTTGCAGCTCTAACTCCCGATGCTTTTGCCTCGTGCGCTCAGATACCAACAAATCCGCCACGTGTTATCATAGCAGTGGGCGATCTTCCTAAAAAAAAAATCCAAGTCACACATCTTTTTATCACGATGCAATATGTGCAAACTTTCTGCCCGATTTAAAACTTTACTTTTGAGAATATTCCGATTTAAACCAGCTATAATTTTCTATGAGCAGCATTGAAATAACATTTGAATGACACCATAAGCTAAAAATATATATAATAAAAAAATAAGGAGACCTAGATCTGACCGACAAAGTGTAAAATCACAAAATGTCACAATCGATTGGCTTGAAACATGGATCGTAAATCTCTTGGGGATCCGTCACAAGCCTCAGATCGCTCACCTCTATCCTACCACGCTGCCTCTTCTTTGTTTTGCTCTGTGTGTCTCAGTGGATTTTTCTCTGCTTTATATGAAGAAATACAGCTTGTGGGTCTGGTCATAGGACAAAACTGCAGACTTTCCTCAGACAACACATCGGGGCTAAGTTCACAGCTTCAGATTTAACTAACGGCCTCTCAAAGTCACGTCACATGCTCTAAACTAAGGACAGCCGAGCGCTCTTTCCGATTAGTGACATGTGGGAAACGCTTTCCGCCAACACTCATGTACTGCAGTTTTTTTTTTTTCCCCCTTCCTCTTGTTTTTTTGTTTTGCTTCCACGTTGGTTGAATTAATCGGTGGTGGTTTGGTTGCTTCTCGGTCACTGGTAGAGTCGCTGGTTGCTGCTGTTAGAGGTTTCACCAGCAGGGCGCTGGATTCTGGGGTCTGTCTTTTAACTCCTGTGCTCCTGGGGCCCCTCCCTGCCTGAGCTGTAGCTTGTAATGATGATGAGGAGGAGGAGAAGGAGGAGGAGGAGGAGGAGGAGGAGTGTGGATGCCAGGACTGGTGCTTAGTGACTCTGACTTTCAAAGAGGACTTCATTGTATCTGGACCATAGGAGATTTGTTTTGCTCCACCGGATGCAGTTTTCCCTCCTGACATCACTGTGTTACTCTTTAAATCATCCTGTTGATGAATGTCGATGACAAAACGGTGCTATTAGCCACGCGCTTGGTTAAACCTGTGTTTGAATTGTTTGTATTATTTGTCACTTGTAGCTGAAAAGATATTTAAGAGCTGACTCTCTTTTAAATCCTAATCATGTCGGTCTCATCAGCTAAATTGTATATTATGTTCTTTTTTTATTTACATCCTGTCAATGTTGTTGGCACATCTTCTCATTTGATTGACTGAAATATGTTACCCTGAAATGTTTCCATAAAATCAAAGTTTGTTTTCAAGGGTTTCAACCTCGCATGTTGTGTGTTTACGTTCAGGCAAAACGTGTTTATATATGACTGAGAACATCCTCAACAATCACAGGTCACACTTGTTTTTTTTTACATTTGCTCTCAACCATGCATTTATTTTATCTGTTCATTTTTATCGACACAAAGACGATATCACTGGAAATATACCCAAAGGTGCTTCTGTAAAGATTTTTACTCGTTTGTCATGTTTCTTTTTTAAAGTAACTGATGTCATGTACACGTGTCACATTTTAATGTATTTATCTCGACTGTGAAAAGTATTTTGTGGGAAAAAAAAGAGAAATCTGATTAAAGTAATAATGACAAGAGCTCAAACGGATTTGCAGATTCATGTACGTGGCTCGTCGTGAGTTGAGGGCAACCACAAGCTGTATGTCAGCTTTTTAAACAGCTGAAATAAAAACTAGTGTTTTAAATTCAAAACTGCTTCTTGCTACTAATCTGCATGTGTCGTCATGTGTGGCTATTCTGCAAACCCTCATCCCTCCTGCACATCCGATGCATTTTGACTGGATGTGTGTGTGTTTAAGTGTTTGTGCGTTTTAATTTTGAACTTGTTGCATTGTTGTTTTTAACCGTTAAATGTAACCGTCGATGTGGTCGTTCTAACCCACACACTTGAATTCACGCTGCTCTCCGTGTTCTCAGGTAAGTGCAGATTCATTTGATGCATGTAACTATGAATAAAATGGCACCAACTGCAAAAAGAACCTTAATAATGAGAAAAAATGTAAATGCTCCATTTTGAAGGTGGTGCCAGTTGAATTCAAGTACATGATTTGTTTTTTAGCATGTTTTACATCATGTGTGACACTTTTTGTTTTTGGAATCAATCGGACAAAAAAACAAAACAAACCCCGGCAGGCCCCTGTTTGCAGGTGGATTTAAGTGTCTGTGTGGAGACGGAAGGTAAAACTGCTGTAACTCTGGAGAACTGACCTGTCAGCTTACCTCTTCCCTCCCTCCCTCCTTCCTTCCCTCCCTCCTCCAGAGGCCTCACAGACTCAGATGTTTTACACAGCCTATGAAATGTTTGAAGGACACAGAAAGTGTAAGTCCACGTGGGCGTGCTTTTCCTCTGTGCCGGGCTCCCTGGTGGACGACCCGGCCTTCTCTCCCTCTCTGCGTCATGCATGCACTCGTCTTCCGCAGCACGGAGACACACTGGTGGTCTGGTAGCGCCCATGTACAACAACCGAGCATCTCCGAGAAACTAACTCGTCACACTCACTCCCTGCTGTTTCGTAAGCGATCATGTTTCAATATCGACATTTGTCAAAAACGTGTAGACTTGATGGGCGTAAGATTGTACATGAGCGTTACCGGGCTCTTCGGGTTCATTGGGGTCCATCACTGCAGGAAAAAGTGCATGTTTCTTCTCACGGGCAACTCCTCATGAATGTTGAGGACAATTTCATTAGTGTTGTTCAATTTGTAATTTGTAAAAAATTCAGTTTTTCTTCTTAGAAAACTGTGATATTGTAGGAAATTTTGACCTTAGCCTTGAAATCAATATGACAATTCAGGGAGATATTTTATATTCGATGATTAAATCTGGCATTTCTTGCATTATTAGGTGCAAGATTCACATATGTGTGTTTTGCATCGCAGCATCTCCACATTCAGAGACAAGAGATGTCCTCTCTTCTTTCTCTTTGCACTCTCTTCTCTTTCCTCTTTCTCCCCCTGAGGAAACTTGCTATACTGTGAATTATCTGTCATCTGGGCTTCAAACATCATACTGTGCTTAATACATCCCATCACACCCTCATCACTTCATGAGCTAAACGTGTCGGAGGCAGAGTTTCAGGGCGTCACTCGTATGGAAGTGTTCAAAATGTGATATTAATAGAAGTATTTTGTAAATGTCATTAAGGAGTTACAGACTTCCCACGTTTCCCTCTTTAGCTCCGATGGTATTTAGACATGAAGCTCGAGTTACTTTTATCTTCCTGGGTTTAGTTCAACTTGCAGCTGTGCAGCACAAACTCCCAGATTCACTGTCACAGCTGAAAACTTTCATCAGTCTTATGTTTTTAGTGTTTGTGTTGTTTACAGCAGGACAAATTGAAGTCCATTAACTTCCATATCTCTGCACTGTGGTGAAGGCAGACGCCTCAGACCTCAGACAGATAAAACCAAGGACGACCAGATGTAGCGAGGCGCTTAGTTTTTTCATAATCTCTCAAACTGAGGCAGAAACTCTACAAAACATCTGTAGAGTCATTTATAAATCTAGACTTTGAGCCGCTGTGTCTGTCCCACACAGGAGACAGGAGACAAATTAAAACGTCTCCCTGCCCGGCAGCGTTTGTGTCACTAAGGTCACAGAGTCCCACCTCGGCGCGGCTGCGACCGCCCCACAAGTGTTGGGCCTGCTTAGATAGACTCAGACTTCACCCCGCCTTATGAAAGAGGCCTTTCTCTTGCTCTGTCACACTGGGATCATGCAGGATTGAGTTGGACGTCCAACAGCCAAACTGGCGCAGACCGCTCTGCGCCCTGAGGCCATGCCAAGGCCTGCCTGCCACATCTCATCTGTTTTGTCTGCTCTGTGGATGCAGACTGCCAAGGGTGACGGTGGGGGCACAGGCAGAGTCTAGTCAATCATTACAAAGCTTATATGTGTATAAGTAAAAGCTGTGTATAGACTCCACACAAGGCTTCATTCTGCTCCATCACTGCACCAATAGACCGGTCTGCTTCATCACTCTGTCACTCTGGAGAAGTGTCTGTTCCGAGCTGTGTTTGACTGATGTGTCTGCTTCTGTAGCCGGAGAGGGGGCCCAGCCTGTGGCCACCGTTACTCCCTCGGTGCTGAACGTCCAGCAGGGCCAGCGGGCGGAGTTCCGCTGCACGGTGACCGGAAACCCAACCCCTGCCGTCGAGTGGATCGGTACGAACTCAGCCGCGAGCAGGGACACGTTCACGAGGATTCTGAGAGATTCAGTCCATTGTGAAGTTTGATCTGTGACTTTACAATATGAACTCACTGACTGTGACTGTTGCAGGACGTCCAGGGAGCAGAATGAGTCCCAAAGCGGTGATACGAGGTGGAGTTCTGACCTTCACAGCAGTGGACCCGGCCGACGAGGGAGAATACACCTGCAAGGCCCTGAACACACACGGAGAACACACAGCGCGGGTTTCCCTCTTAGTGCAAAGTACGATCCGTGTTTTCGTGTGTGTGGTTCACAAAATACAAGTCCACACATATCAGGTTTTAGGGATAAGAGTTGGTTTAATGTTAGAGTTCCCTTAATTTTTATTTTAGGTAAGTTTATTTCACTGTAATCCAGAAATAAAACAAAACAATATACGTATACACATTCCATAAATGACAAAAGAGCAGGTTCAGAACACTCTTCATTTGGAGGCTAATATGAGCTAAAGCCAAAGTGTTTGTGCTTCTTAAACTCTCAACACGTCGTAGTGTCTGTGATCTGTTTTGTCCTTGAATGATGAAAATGAATTCCCCGCTCAGAGTCCAACCCGACCGGCCTCGGCACCCAGCCCCAGGTCCAGGTCAGCCCCCAAAATATCCAAGTCCACGAGGGCGACACCCTGAGGTTGTACTGCCGCGCGTCCGGGTCGCCCACGCCGAAACTCACCTGGCTGAAAAACGGAGGACAGATCCCTCCACAGGTGAGACGCCTCCTGCGGCCTCGGTACGCGAACAGTGACTCAAACGTGGATTCATTCAAACCGTCTTGTGCCGTATCTCTTACCTGCATCCGCTGCCGATGGTATTTCATTATACTGTGTCCGTTTATTTGACCTGTTTCAGCATTTTGACCATTTACCTGTATTTTTTCCTCCCTTCTGTTTGTCTCCTCCCTCCCTTTTGTTGTTTTTTTGATCCCTCCCCGTTCTGACGTTTGCTCAGGCCATTCCCTCTCACGGTTTCCATCAGTTTAAAAGCAACAGTCTCGATGTGTTACAGAGACGTATTGAGGAGCTGCAGGTCTGTCCATCTGTCCGATGTCTGTCTGTCCTGTCTCACATCCATTGTCCTCTACTGACCTCGTCTTCACGCATTGTCGACTAAGTGCATGATCGTGTCCTTGATTCACATCCTGTTCCTTTAGAACAGCTGCTCACCAAGTCCCCTTAGAGCCGCTGCCAGACACCGTACATTCAAATCAACCAGCTGCGTCTGGTTGACTTCTTCATGTACTTGCATGCCGTTCTTGTTTTTAATGTCGCGTTTTATTAACGATGTTCCATCGTCTTTCGTTTTGTTCTGTCCACATCATTCCATCCCTGACTGGTTTGGGCACCTCGTCGCTCCATCCAGTGTACTAACAGGACTAAGTATACAGTAGGTGCTGTAGGTATTTCAGACATATTTCGCTCCGTGCCAGGCGCGGCCCGCTGCCCCCGTCACCCCGTGCCCCCAGGGGGGATTTTGTGTCAGTCTGGTTTCTGCACGGCCCTCCTCAGCTCAGCCAGGGCTCCGAGGGGCCTGTTTAGTTCTGCCTCAGAGAGCCACTGCGTTGTGTCAGCCTTTCCCAGGGGGAGCCGGGCTCTGCCGTGCGACCACGCAGAAATTCTGTATGCTCTAGCAAACGGCTTGCTTTGAAAACTCCTCAATGGGTTCAGACACACATTGAGCCCGGGCCCGCCTCAGCCACTGCTCGGTTTAGCCTCCCTCACGGTTGAATGGGCCGGAGTTAAGCAGCTTTGTCCGTGGATGCCCCAACACCCCCCCCACCCCCCGGATACAGTAATCCCTCCCCGGACCCTCCCCTCATGATTCCCCTCCCCTCTGAGGAGTTTCCAAACATTATGAAAAGCTCCTTTTCAGCCTTGTCGGGCCGCTGGCGACCACGTGGAGTCGCGTAAACAAGTCGTTGACTTCTCATCGAGTCATTTTGTGGAAATTGATGCGTTGAGCTTTTTGGGGATTTTAATCCCAATTTGCTCTGAGGTGTGTGATGGTGGATGTTTTGACGTCCAGGTCGACGGCTCGTGATTATTATTCGTAGATTTTCTCGTTTAAAGCTGCTTTTTAATTCTCACTGGCCCAAATCAATGTGTCGCAAACTGTCGGATCTAACTTTTTCCATTGTTTTTACAATCATCAGTCTCACTGATCATGATGTATTAACAAACGATAACACAACCAATCATCCTAGAAGTCTTGGCAAATCCACTTTGTGCAAAGTTTTGTGCCGTAGAAACCATAAATCAAGAAACTCCATGTATAGAGACACTGAACTGTAGCAATAACAGCTCCTGTCTTGTCTTTATCTACACTGTGGTGCTTCTGTGTCGCCGTTAGCAAATAGAGTCACAATGTCGGCAGTGTCATGTTTGTGTTGTGTGAAGGGACGTGAGACAGGTAAGTGACGTGCTCTGTCTTCAGTATTAATCATATCATTGAGATGTAAGTCTGAGATTGGTTTCTAATCTTCACTGATGTGTCCCCTCCAGGCCCGAATGGACCGCACCGACATCGGCACGCTGCTCATCCCCAACATCAAGATGTCCGACTCTGGCACTTACATGTGCGTCGGCAGCAACAGCATCGGCTCAAACAGTTCTCCCATTAAAGTCTCGGTGCTCAAAGGTGAGATGACAGGACAGAGGTTTTATTGGCTGGTGTCTCTGCGCGCCGCCAAGGTTTAACTGTCCCCTTATAAATTTAAATAAACAACTTATAACCAGAATAAGAATCTCTTCTTCTTTAAAATGCTCCACAGCAGATTCTTCAATGATACTTGTACCTGATGCACGTGTTTGTGTTTGCACAGCGGACCACATCTCGTCTGCGGTCAGCATCCAGCCATCGATAGCCGACGTGCAGGAGGGTCAGAGTCTGGAGCTCAACTGTCTGGCTCCTGGAAATCCTCCTCCACAGGTCTCCTGGACGAGAGCGAGCGGACGCCTCTCCTCCAACCACCAGGTCGTCACACAGATATAGAAAATACGTTAGAATAAATATAAGACACTGAACATTCATTTACACATTTATTCAAATTCTGTAATTCTGAAAATTGCAGTTTAGTTACTGGTTACTTTGCAAATTAGGATTATATTTAGTATTACAACAAATATCGACGTATAAATTCAGTACCCAGTCGTGTAAAAAGTACTTTGAATGGCATCTACCTCTACTAGCTGTGATATTAAAATGTGAGTTTGTAGGTACTTCTACTTCTAATACTAATACCAAAAATAAAAACTGAATGCAGTGTTGGTACTTGTATTCTTACAGCTGGGTAATAATGTTATAATGATTTTAAAAGCCACTTTTTACTCTGTTTTCCATTTAATCCCATATTCATATTATTTTATGTGTTGTTTGGCAGCAGCAGTAGTAGTGGTGGTTATAGTAGTAATATTATAATACCTGTAGTATTTTAAGCTGATCTGAAGCGTCTCTGTTCCTTCCACCTTCCTGCAGGTTCTGGGCAGTCAGCTGCGGATCCTGTCGGCCTCTCCGGAGGATTCAGGGGACTATATCTGTCGGGTGCAGAGCATCACTGGAAACCCAGGATCTCGCGTCCACCAGGCCTCGGTCTCTGTGTCCGTCACCTCATCGTCTTCACGTGAGTTAGAACTTTACACAGATCACATGAGGCCTGTCTTTGTTTTTTAAACTCAGTTTGTTTGTGAGTCGTTTTTTGGGTCTGGATTTAAAATATTTCAGATATTCTTAGCAGAGGTATTATCCTGAGTGCCATTCAGCACATTAAACACAAGAGCAGTACTTCTACTGTGGTTGGACATTGAATTCTGATTTTCTGTCTCATTGAGGAAATTATACTTGATGGCAGCATCGGGGGGGAAACACATTAAGGGCAGGGAATTCCAAAACAAGATTGTTGTTCTCACACTGACACTGACTCACCTCATGAATGAACTTTCCAGTCGCGCTGTCCAGTGTCGCCCAGCGTGACCTCACATTGAACGATTTTCCTCGCACTGTCCCATGACCTCATCCTCGTTCACCGCCGGTTTCTCTGGTTTCTGCTGCAGGTCTGCAGAGTCCAATCATCGCCATCGAGCCTCACAGTGCTGCAGTGCGTGTCGGGGAGTCGGCCAGCTTCAGGTGCAGGGTGTACAGCGGGGCCCAGCCTGTCAGACTGGAGTGGAAGCTGGCCAATAACCAGCCGCTGCCAGGTAATAACCACACACACACACACACATATGCAGACCGCCTGTGAGGAATAAACCTGAGTACCGAGTTCTGATTTAATGATGTCATTATTTACAAGCAATTACAGCAGCAATCCACCCGTGAAGTACTTCTCTGTTACTTCATTTAAAGACTGATTGAGAGACA